AAGGGATGCAGATGCTATGTGATGGAGGCAAATAAAGTGGACTTGCCTCTCACTCAAAGAATTGGGTTATGGGGTCAATGGGCCACCTGACAAAGGCAAAACCACCTTGAGAAATCCCCTTGAGTCAACATTACCTTTAACTGCCATCACTACAGATTTGTTTATTTACCCCATTGGGCATGTGAGGAAGGAACTAAGTTGCACTTAGGGTCTGTGGAGTATATAAAATAAGTGATAATCAACAATAAAACCACAATCAGTGAAGCAAAATCATCACACAGTGATGGGCAGCAGGGATGGAGGAGCAAAAGGTCCATGACGCCTTGTCATGGTCACTGGGTAATACTTTCATGGGCAAAATGTCAGCTAAAACTACTCACATGATTTCAATCACCCCTCTCTGCTCTCTAATAGAATATAATTGAATTTAGGTGAACTACATGCTTAGTGATGTGACTGACCCCTTCACATCATCAGGTGAAACACAATCTGACTGGTTGCGGAGTTGTGAACATCTCTTGGTCCCACACCCAGATCACAGGGTCAATCCCAGCACCAGGCACAAGTGCATCAGGAGCTCCAGTGCCTCTGACTCTCTCTCAGGTGTTGCTCATGCTGGGGAGCTGGGAGGAGGAGATGATGCAGGGTGTGTCCCAGAGCCAGCTCCTGTTCACTCCTGAGAGCTGACTTTGCCATCAGGGACATCACACTGGGATAGCTTGACTTGGTCTACATTCAAGTGCTGGCAGGTAGAACTTGATGCTGGGAGCATTTGCCTTGAGAAGTAGAAGGCATAGGGAGACAAGCTGGAGATCTCTAATTTGGGAGGTGCTGGTGCCATTTTGAAGATTGATTGGGAAATATTGTTAATTCAGCAATAGCTTCATTATAGCAGAGACTGTTAATTACCTTCTCAATAACCATTCATTCCTTTCTCCTTAACATCAAAACCCTGGCTGTCAGGCAGAAATGTGTACAGCTAAGAGATTATATTTTCTGGTTTCTCTTTCAGCAAGAGGTGGTCAATATGATGGAAGTATAAATTACTGGATAGACTTCCTGGGAAATCTCCTCAGATGGGTTTGACTTTGTCATGAGGAATATTTTCCTAACTTATTTCTTTCCCTCTTTTTTCCTCACTGAAATATGGATGTGGTGACTGGAGCACTAGCATTTGTCTTGGACCAAGAGGATGAAAGTCAAGGACTAAGGATGATGTGTCAGAAAGACAAAGGAGCCTGAGTCACTGATAATATAACATGATGGAGCTATTGTACCAGACCTGCACTGTCCAGTTCAGGATTTCAATTGACCTCCTTCATTTGAGAGAATAAACCCCTAATTTGTTTAAGATACTTTATTGTCAGTAAAAAGCAGTGAGGAGTACAGTTCCTAAATAGCACATTCATATTTTGTTTCTCACTAGAAAAATGGAATAAAATTTGTTCCAAGTTTGTTTTGGGGGTTGAGGTATATGTGCTCCCCCATTTTAATGATAAAAGCAATGTGTTCTTACTTAATGGGAAGCAAAGTTTATCAAGAGCCAGGTTCATTGTCACAGTATGAGGCACCTCACTGGGACACCTGTTTAGCCATCTGAATTGGTTCTTCATCTATCTGGTGCTGAGCGCTGTGAGGTGGAGTGAGAGAATGAGGAGATTACATATGTCTCAATGAGGCTAAGTTGAGTAGTGGCCCATCTTATCCTGGAAGAAGAGTGGGTCTGCATTTCTGCCCTTAGTACCAGGTAGGCAGGTACGAGATACATTCTGAATCTGGGGAAAACTGACAGTCTCTTCTGAACTGGGTGTGGTATAGATGGGCCCAGGGTCTGACCCAGTGACCAGAATTTAGCCCAGTGCCCTTAATCCTTGGTCCCAGTTGGCCCCATCTAGAAAAATCATGTTCCTGGGCATTTTAGACTCTTCTCCAACAGAGGAGTTCCTAGTCATCCTTTAAGACATGGCTCCCTTCTCACTTCCTCTGGGAAAGTTCCTGCTCTCTTCCCTGTGCCCCTCATCACATGATTTCAGTTTGTTACATTGGAGAGTAATTATTTGTTGATATGGCTCTGATCCTCACTAGTCTGGAAGCAGGAACAAAGTCTAACACAATCATGCATCCAGCTTCCCTTGCAACTAATGAGACCAAGTAACTGAGTTCTACCCAAAGGGAACATGAGCAGAAATCATCCCATACCTTTGCACAAACCTAGGAGGTACCATTCACACATAATGAAGAAGCTGTGAATAGAAAGGATGTTGCAAGCTCAAATGGAAGAGGCTTATTCTGCCCAAGCTGCCACTTGCTCTCAACAAGCTGAATGGACAACAGCAAGACCACATATGACAACAGAACTCTGACCCACAATCCCTGCAGTGACTGGCCCACAATGGTCAGGACTCAGTCAAAGATGCCAGCTTTCCTATTATTTTGTGTCTCTGCTTCCAACTCAGAAGCAACCAGAGAAAGTCATAGATGCCCTCGAACCAATCACATAGGATTCCTGCTTCTAGTTAGTCTGCTTCTAACTTGCCTCTGCCAATAACCTCCCATCAGGGCACAACTGGAGCCTTCTCAATGCAGACTCCTTGCTGTAGCAAGCTCTGAGTCCATAGGCTCTGCTTGTTCTCTTTTGGTCAGTCTTCATCCATTTCTGCACTCCCTGCTGCATGCAAGGCAGAATGGACTGAGCACTAAGATGGAAGGAGCCAGAATCCCTGGTATTGTGGAATTGCCATACACCCTGTACTGGCAATGAGAAACACACATGTACACACACCAGCAAATGCACACACAAATACCTGGAACTTGTGCAAGTTTGCCCTGGGGCAGCCTGGGCAAAGGGTACATTTGTTCGGGATTAAGAATCAGTTTGCTGACCAGATTCATGTAAACTAGTTATCACTTAATTAAACCAGGATTTTTAAGGTAGTTGAGCATCTTTAATTTGTGTACAATGATCCCTATGCTAATTATCCTAGACCCTGACCTATTCATTAATACTAGGAGGCTGCTTAGTCTGTGGTCTGAGAATGCTTAGTGCAAAGGAATGAAGCTGCCTTCATGTACACAAAATTCAGAATTCCCATCTATTCTGAATGGATTCTCCTCAATCAGGGTAAACAACCTAATTTCACCAACTCTTTCTTGGGGGGTTTCCTTTGTGTCCAATGTCATTCTGTCTTCCTTTGGATATGGCTTTGGCTACCAGATGGCCCAGGATCACCGGATACCAAATACTTTCAGATAAAGAATGTAAGGGCTATTCATTAATGTCCACATTCAACCCATCCTTCTTCTGGTCACCATAGGTTCAGGACCCCCGCTTTTGGGAGGTGGTGGCTCTCACAGCTTTGGTGTCCTTTTGCCCACAGGGGATGCACAGAGGGGACAAACTCACAGAACTGGATTCTGGCACCATCATTTGATCTCCTGTGAAATGTTTGGGGCAAGAAGATAGGCCGAGATACAGAATTAATGTCTTAGGGTTTTGTGTCCTCCAGTCTTATAAGCCAGAGTCTCGTTTTCAGGGAACTTCCATGATGCCTGGTGGAGCAGACAAAGGCAAAGTGGCCCTAGAGGTTCAGCAATCTTTCCTAGCCACTTGTGGGTACTATCTGGGAAGTATCTCAAAGTACAGTTCCTTGAGACATTCCTGTTCATGCTTCCCGGCCTCTAATATCCCTACAACCATTTACATGTTCATCTGGCAAACATTTCCTATGTGTCTACTTCATGTTAGCAAGCTACAAGCTTGACTCTCAAGAAGTTCACATTCTTCAATAAAACAGACATTTGAACAAATAATGATTATCTAGTATAATAAGAGCTATAACAGGTGTGTACACACTACCAAGTGAACACAAAAGAGTGAGCAGTTCACTCAGCTTGGTTGTGGAAGGCTTCAAAAATATCCAGCAAGGGACACTTGACTAAAGTCTTATGGGGGCATGGGGTTTCCATTAGCTGGGGATGCAGGGTGGGGGTAACTGTCCAGGCAAATGCATGAAAGAGTCAAGAAAAGGTCTGCAGTTCTTTGCAGTTGGAGCAGAAGGTGAGGGAGGAGAAGCAGGAGAGGATCCATAGGCTGTCAATTGGGGTCATTCAGGCACCATCTGAACTTTATTCTGAGGTTACAGTATACATCCAAAGTGGAGCTGTGTACTCAAATGCCTGCAGGGGACAGGCAGATGATTAAATCATTTAGAGGTGCCAGGTGGGGAATGGAAGACAGGGGAGTGCAGGCCCATCCAAAGGTGGAGCCCATTGTTGCCATGGTAGAGTGCAGGCAAGTTTCCATTAAAAAAAAAATCTGGGCATCACATTTTTACATGAACCTTCCAAAGTTTTTTTTTTTTAATTTAACACTTGAAAAAATTTTTAATAGATTTTATTTATTTATTTTTAGAGAGGGAAGGGAGGGAGAAAGAGAGAGAAACATCAATGTGTGGCTGCTGGGGGCTGTGGCCTGCAACCCAGGCATGTGCTCTGACTGGGAATCAAACCTGTGATGCTTTGGTTCGCAGACCGCACTCAATCCACTGAGCTACGCCAGCCAGGGCTTGAACCTTCCCAAGTTTTAAATGTTGGAAATTGTTTCAAAACATCATGATGGCCTAGCAAAAAATATCTGACATCCTCTTAGACCCTGGGCCTCTAGTTTGGCACTTGAGATGCAAAGCTTAAGCAGGGAGCTGACATATCCAGACATATTTCAGAAAGAAGATGTCCCTACAGATCTTTCCATGCATGATGTTTATGTCCCAGCCTCTGCCAGCAAGAACTTCTTTTCCCCACCTATTCCACACCCTTGCTACATCTACACATCTTTGCACCCTCACTGCTTTCCCTGACCATCCCCGGCACCAGCTCCACCTTTCATGGAGGCCCTGAATGAATGAGTCATGCTCCAATCCGACTTACAGAGGAAAGTCCACATTCAGGAAACAAGAGAGCCACATTTATTTCACATGGACAAGCATGATTCTGTCACATGCTGAACATGAAAGCTCATATGAGGCAAGTACCCGTAACAGAAGAATTATGTGCTTTTGTCCACAGGGAGCAGGGAGAGTCACAAAGTGGTTTTCAGAGACAGTCACCCTTCAAGCCAAGCTGAGACCATTGCCTTAGAAAGCTCTGGTTTGTGCCATCATCAAAGGGTCTGTCTCCTGGAGGTGGCTGGGAGTGCTTCTGTTCTGCATCTCTGGATGTGCTGCTGAGGGCAGGAGGGTGAGGATGGTCTCCCATGCCACTATTCAGGTGGCTCAGGAGAGCTCAGCACAGGGGGAAGTACATGACACTTGGAATTAACAAGCTCACGCTGGGTGGACAGTGACAGGGACAGACTGCTGTGTTCATAGCAACAGAACCACCACCATTTACAATAGCTATCATAATGGGAAGATCCACTCCTCTTAAAGCAAGTTCCCAAGGCAGCTTATGGGCTAAAGGGAAAGCATTTGGAATTGACTGGACATTCCAGAGGCAGATCTACTTTGTCTGGACAGACTGGGGAGAGCTAGTGGAGGGACCCCCAGTCTCTTGGCCTTGGTTGGGCTTCCTGGTTCTAGGATGATGGAATCCAAGATGGGGAGGGGCTTGGTGCCTGGGATGAGAGGATGATAAGCTCTAAGAAAAAACCTCATCGAAGAGACCAGCAGAAGAGCCCTTGCATGTGAGAGGTTTATTCCCACCTGAAGTCCTGCCCAACAGTTTCATAAAACTTAATGTTATAAGGTCTATAAAATTCCCGGAGCTGGTCTATCACCTCAGGATCAATCTGTACATGAGTTCTGCCCTTTGATTTGCCCAGACATCGAGGCAGGAGGCTTGATTCTGTCTTTTTCAAGCAAGGGAACCCTTTGGTCTTGTTGAAATAGAAGTGCTTGTCCGTGATGAACCTCTTAATGCCCAGGAAGTCCTGGACCCTCCCCATCTCACCAGCGGGGTCAGTGATGAGCCGCTCGCCACTGACAAAGTGGATCTGAGCCAGTGGGAAATACTGCAGCCAGCTCTCCAGGTGCAGCACGTACAGGCCAATGCGGATGGCATTCCATGACACGTCCACCAGGCCTAGTGTGCGGTTCCGGAAGGATAGGCCCTCGAAGGTGGGGATGTCTGGCTTCTTGGACAGTGTTTGAGTGTAATCAGAGATGGCACGGGTCACGGGGTTCCGCACCACCACGATCAGCTTGGTGTCTCGGGACATGTTGAAGATCCGGCGAGGGGCCTCTTGAGTGACGAAATAGCTGGGGGTCTTCTCCAGTGTGATCTGGCTCTCCATGGTTCTGGGCATCAGGTTCCTGTGGGAAGAAGCAGCACATCATCACACAGGACTTTCCTGGGAGTGCTGGGATCATTTCCTTGCACCCAGCTCCCTGGTTGAGTTCCCCTCCTCTCCTCTGTGACATCTGAAGCTCACCTACTCTCACCTGGTGAGAAACCCATGTTATCTCTTGTTGATTTTATTTTTTAGTTTTTAACAGGTTTGCTTTAAGACAGGACATGTCCATCAGTATGGGTTAAATAATGATGGAATAGCCACTTAGTAGAGTTAGGTAGATCTGAGTGTACTAATGTGGAATGATTTCCAAGATAAAGCATTAAATGAAAAAAGGCAAGGCACAGCACCTTCATCTTGGGCAGGGTACCAAGAGACTGATAAAGTCGATTCTGGGGAGGGGGTGGGAGTAAAGTGAGGAGGTAAGGGATGGATGAGAATGACTTTTTATTGTATAACCATTTAAGCTGCTTGAAATTGTTAATGCAGTTATTACATATTTAAAAGATATGAAGGAAGGCACTGAATATAGTTCTGGCAAAACGGACTTATCCAAGTATATTAGAAAATCCTTTGAGCAGGGAAGGGTTTGTTTTATAGGAATAGCAAGTATTTTAGAAATGAGTTCTAACCACTATGCTATACACCCGAAACTAATGCAAAATAATATTGAATGCCAACTGTCATTGAAAAAAATAAATAAAAAAGAAGAATCCCTTATCACTGAATTAACTGAGAACAAAACAGAAATTATCAGCACTTTTACCCCACAAGAAAAAGGAAAAAAGGAAAAAAAAGAGTCCTGGTGTCTTTTCCTGCTGAGATACATCCTTGGGAAAGCACAGAAGGACAACCCAGTGGGACCTCAGGCAGAAGCTAGGCACTGCAACCTCTCACTCCCTCACTTTTTAATTTCCTGGCTCTGCTTGAGATTCTGCGGGATGATGGTGGAAACTCCTTCTCAGATGTGTCTCTTTCAAACCCTGATGGAGGGAAATATCCCTGGCTCTGAGTCATTAGTTCTTTCTGGAGGTCATATTTTACCTTCAACTAGTTTTTCTAATTCTGGCTACATAAGAGACCATCCAAGGAATTCTATAAATACAGATGTCTGGGCCCCATCCAGGACCAGCTGATTAAAGCTATTTGGGGTTGGGTACTTTTTTAAAGCTCCTCAGATCATTTCAATTGAAGGCAGAGTTGAGAACCACCAATAGAGGGGCATCACTCCTAACACTATGATTGACCAATCCCCAAAGCATCTATCTTCATCCTCTGGATTATAGACTCCTGGTTCCTAGTTTTCTTCATCCCAAGTCCTAGTATCATCCCTATTCAATAACCTGGCATCATAGTTCTCTGACCAAATATCCCAATTTTCTCTTCTCATTTAACAACTCTTACTCCTGCACACCTTGGGTCTTGTCATTGGAATTGTCCTAATTCTGAAATGGTTCACTCTGAAATTCTACTCTAGGATTATGTATTTGGTTGAAGGTAACCCTCCAAAGATGTATCTGCCCAGAACCTATGAATGTGGCCTTATATGGAAAGAGTCTTTGCAGATATAAGTTAAGGATCTTGAGATGATATCCTGGATTAGGGTGGGCCCAAAGTCCAGATGAGGAATATGCTTACAAGACAACAAAAGGGGAGAAGAGACACATGTAAAAGAAGGCGATGTGAAGACAAAGGCAGTACATGGAATGATATATGTACAAGCCAAAAAAATGCCAAGGAAATGAATACAGACTGCAACCTTATTTCTTTATACATTTGCCACAGTCTCAAACTCATTGTACTTGATCTTCAAATTCATCTATGATCCTCTTGATTTCACTTTCTTGCATACCTTCTCTAGATCAAATGAACAATCATTTCAGTTTCTTCTTCCTGTTCCTGTTCTTTCTCTTCATCATCATCATCGTTGTCACCATCATCACCATCATTATCAATTTCCTTTTACTACTTTCTCTTCCAGTCCCTGACAATATATCTACTCAACCTTCATCATTTCTAATTCTATCTCTGCACTGCCAAACAGAAGAGGAAATTGCTGACCCTGGCAACTGGATCCTTCCTGTATTTATTAATTCTATCTTCCACTGAGCCTCAACACTGCTCTGTAATTGGGTATATTTGTTTTTACAGCCCCCTCTTAAGATTCTTCATAGTATGTGTTCCAAATTCTCACCATAAGCTCCCAACCCTATTCCTGATACCCACTTTTAACACACAATTAGTCTCCCACTACACTAGAAAGACAAAAGGTGTCACCTTCAACTTTCCTCTCCTTCATCCTGAAACTGGCTATGATCTGTACCCATGCTGTGCCCCTCTCAGTAGCCTCAGAGGAAAAGGTGGGCAGGGGCTCACCTGTGCTCTCAGATCTCTTTTTCTACTGCCTTCCCTGCATACCTGCCCAGACCACCTTGAATTTTCAAATTCACTGTGAAACTGATTAGCTGATACAACAGATATTTTGCTTCCAAGCTAAATGTTTATAATGATCCCTTGTGATTGGAATAGGCCATTTTTTAAAATTGGATGCCATTATTAGCAAACAATCACAGTGCACTAGCATAGAATTCTTTGGCTAGCTTTTCTTAGAAACCTGACTATATTAGATTATTACCTTGGCATACATTGTAATTAGATGTTGGTCATTATGACAAAAGTAGACAGAATCATACAAATATAACAGGACTTTTAAACTTAAGAACTTTTCAAACTCTGTAGGGGTTATTGTGTTGGTTTCTCCCAACACAAAGAAGTTGACTGGGCAAGCCATGAAGCAGATTTTTCTGAAACATCCTTTCATACACTAAAGAATATCTATGAGAGGAAGTGAGGATGCAGCATTTTCCAAGCTTATTTGACTAGAGTTATGAACTCTTGCCAGGGGCACCAATGAACATCTCTCTGTTACCAGTTTGGAAAATTCTGACTAGTTCCAGTGATCTTCAGAGCATCACACATGCCCTGGCTGTAAACTGAAGTGAAGCTCCACTCTTCTAGTTCCTAACTGGCATGTCAGATGCAAAACCAAATTATAAATACTAAGGATGATACAGACACCAGACTAAACAACATCATATACATAATTGTGCCATGGATCAAATGGCTCTTGTGCACTTCAAATTTTATCTGTCCCACCAAAGGACACCCTTACATATTTAGGTCTCCTTAGGTCACTGGAATAGAGTGCTGAAGCCTAATGATGATAATGTGCAAGGAGACTGGCTATGCATCTCCCTGCTCTGTGCCCATGTGGGAGGCAGGGATTCAACTTCTCCTTAAGGATCATTTTGCCTCGTCAAGTCATTGTTTAAAATTTTCTTGTTTCCAGCTGCTAACACACAGTTAAAATTTTCTCTCACCCTGTAACCCTCTTAAGCTTCAGCCTCCTTTATTTTCTATGTATCTTTGCAAAAATTACTGAAATAGGCTGACACTGTTTGGACTTACCTCCCATCTGTTATTTTAACTTGCTCAGCAACAGTTGCTCTACATCTGATAAGAGCCCCACATTTTTCTTTGAGGAACTACCACTCCTCCTTTGAATAAAATCTTGATGGGCGAAGGGGTGGGTGCATGACTGAAGTCAGGCCAGTCAGTGCCAGCTGTGTCATAAACTCTAACAATCTATCATCAAGACTGAAAATGGTTGGACTGAACTTTCCCACCAGGTATAAGAGTCTGGAAAAATCCTCCTCATCAGCTTTTCTTACCAAATCCCTTCAGCTCTCTTGATTCTTGCCCTGATACCTGGTTCTTCCACTTTTGTGACAGGACATAGCTGAGCAGTAGCTATTCTTAGGTAGGGGCTGACCAGCAGCCATTCCCAGACAGCAGCCATTCCCAGATAAGCAGTTATCTCAAGGTCATACACTAACCCCTGTTTTAGCAGTTGCACTCCTTCCCCTCCTCCATCTGCCTGTGTAACAAGCATATAAAGAAGCCTCCAGCTTGAGCTCCTTGCCCAGAATTTGGATTTTATCTCCTCTGGGTCCGCATGCATGAATAAACCCCACTTCGTAAACTTGCAGGCCATCTGAGTTGTCTTTTCCATAACATTTTGGTTCCCTGACTGGGAAGCAACTCACACAAGCAGGCTGTTGCCTCTGATGAAGGCGGCCTTGGGGCGGCTGGTGGGGCCCCGAGGTGATAAGGAGGCATGCGCGCTCTGGTGATTTTGGGTCCTGAACATCCCGGGCTCCACAGGCTCGGCCCCTGGACTGCTCTTTGACCCAGGATGGCGGGGCGTGAACTGGTGGTATCTGGGAAGGTGCCAATCTGGAATCTGGTAAGTGCCCCGAGGGGACCAGGAGCCCGAAAACCAGGCCCACCCTTGTGGTGGAAGGAGGGACTGATCACCCCTCAGGCCGGAAGGCCCAGGCAGGGCTCCTACAGTTCAGGAGGCCAAGACTGGGTTCCCATAGTTTGGGCGGGTGGGAACGTAATAAATTCGGTGTGTTTGTGTGAATGACTGTGATTGTTGCTCCACGGGTGGAAGCCTATGGAGCATGAGTGAGCCCTAACCTGCAGTTCCTCGGTCTGTCACATGGCATAACAGCTGGGAGTTTAACCCGAATTCTACACGGACAGCCTTAGCTAAGAAGGAACCTAAGTGCCCCGAGAGGGGAGAGGCCAGGCGGGCAATTTGAGAGTCCCTTCCCTTGTCTGTCCACACTGATCGGGAGAATTCATCATGGTGGGGTGGGGTTCTGCTACAGTACTATATTGCATGTATGTTGGAAATCAGACAGCAAGCCATGTGGGTACGCCGCCATTTTGGGTAAAATGGAGGACAAGCCACGTGAGTGTCCCACCGTGGAGGGTGGAGCGTGCATGGTTGTCTTCATCTTGGATGATGGATCATGTGAGAGCCCCTCCATCTTGGAACTGGGCAAGGTGCCAGGCTAAGGGCTCTCTTCAGATTATGGGCTGTATGCTGCTGCTGTGTGGGCACTGCATCAGTCTGGTTCCCTGTGTAACTGGTTCTGATAAGAATGGCTCTGG